GTTAAAAAACGGTCAAATATCGAGGAAGAAGGTTATAATCAGCGAAATCGCTTGTTACATAGAAAAGTAAACAACATTTCGAGTACTTTCCAAATCCGCAATAAAATATGGGGTAGGGGTAGTTCATTTAACCCGGTGTTGTCAATTTTACTGATCCATGTACTCGCACGAGTCTCACTTCGAATGAATTTTGGTGCTATAATAATTATTATATAGACTCCTAGCCAGGGTCGCCGTTAGCCTCGACGGGCCCCGGGAATATTTTTTGACCGGACCTCTATATTTGAAATTTTTGTTGTCCAGCACCCTTATCTTAAACTAGACATTTTCAATCTTGACTACTTAGATTTGAAACGAGAACATTTGAATAATTTGATACAGACAGTAATTTTCATAATTTATTATGAATTATTAGAATTTGAATAACCAAATTACAATTTAACTCTGCGGACTTTCTTATTAGCAAAAGTGAATATCACTCGCTCAAAATGAATTTCTCTAGCAAGTTGAGCTTCAAGAGCTAATGTACCGCTACCGAGATTGATCTAACGATCTTGACCCATAGTCGATCTCAAACGGTTTTTTACCTAGCGAGCCTTCTGTCACTGCGCCGTAATTAGGAAATTTTGCTCAATGGTATGGTTTTTTAAATCTTCTGCTGTGCATTTTTTTTAAATTCTACTCTCTTATATAGAGATATGCATATGCAGATTTCTGTTAAAAAATACAATTAAAAATCAGGTTTCAAAATCTCTTTTGCCCGAGCCCCCAGAATATGACCGGGCCCCGGGGCAAATGCCCCGGCTGACCCCCCTTATCGGCGGCCCTGCTCCTAGCCAACACCTATCCCTATGACGGCAATCTTTTCTACCAATACAAAAAAACCCATGCAATGAAATTCGTTTTTGAGCTGTCAATCTCAGTAATTGTGATAGTGTATTAGTAATGTTATGTGCTCATTTTGGGTCAAATTTAAAATGAAACACCAAAATTTGAAAGTTTTCGCTCGCTTAAGAGATACCTACGGGGGAAAATAAAAAATTGTGTGACCCTTATTTTCTTAGGCAAAAGAGATACAGAAAAATGTTTATTAGAAAAGTTTCTTTATAAAGATTGTTGAATGATCCGCCGTTTTCATAATAAGTATACGGGGCAGGTAAAAATGATATCGGACCTAACCTCATTTTTTAAAATGGAACACCCTATATATTTTAATTTAAAAATATAGGATATTAAATTCAAGTGATTCAAAAAAATTAAAAAAAGGTTCAAATGGTTAAAAAAATACAAACATTTCTAGATTGTGTTTTAATTTTTTTAAAATCTTTTTAAATCAACAATGATTGTTATATTTTTGAAAAGAAATTGTAATATCTGTTTATATTAAAATATACAGAGTGTTTCATAAAAAGATGTTCGATAATCTGACACCACGTATACTTATTTTGAAAACGGCAGATTATATAACACTGATAAAGAACATTTTTCTGTACCTCTTTTATAACTAAAGTACAGTGCCATTCTGAAATTGACAATTTTTTGATTTTCCCCCATAGCTCTTAACCGAAGGAATATTTTCCAATTTGGCTTTTTTGATAGCACCTACAATTACGGAGATACCCTATAAACGTGTCGAAAATAGGAACATGGAAACTTTCATCTAACCTGAACCCTTTTCGACTTCCGTGGTAAATCTGGCCGCATTAATTCACTTCTCACCGCGTAATTTAAGGACAGTAGGTACTCAACACTACTTTCTAAAGCATCCTAACAAAAATGTTAAAAATCCTTGAAATTTGGCTATTTTCAGCATACCTACTTAATTTAGTAAAAATGACATATAGCTTCTAAATTCATTATTTATACGTTAAAGGTTAATAAGATGTTTCGTAAATTAGAATCGGACTGAACAGGCGGAGTACCAACGAAATTTTCGCGGTGTCCTTATCTCTGGCAAATGGTCTTCTTAGATTTACTTATAGCGTCAAAGAATGCAGTCGGAAAAAATGTGTACACGGTGTAGCACATAAGTATGCATAAGGTATTTGATAGCATTTTTACAGTAAAAAACTCTTTTACAAAATTATCTACCCAAATTATGTATGTAATTAATAAGACCCAGTTTCCATTTAAAAAAACTTAGTTTTAGGATTAATCCAGGGGCGTAGTAAAAAAAACACCCTGTATATCTTAACGCCAATTGTGTTGCATTCTTGATTATATTATGATGTATTACAACTTATATTTTTTTATTTTAGCCATGAAACCCTTATTTTTTATTGTTTTTACATAGTAGGTCAAGGATTCATGGAAAATTGGTTTTGTTTATTGTATCCACGGTAATTAACGCAGGTAATACCAATCAATAAAAAAATAGCTGACGGCAGAAACATGTCATTTCAAAATTTTGAAAAATATGATATAATATAATCATAATTTCACCACTTTTTTGAGTTTTTTGAGAAACACGGTTATTTGGAAAAAGTGCTTGTTTTGATCCCGTCTACCACACATTTTTTTTACATACTTATAAGTATACAAGGTATAAAAGAAATATAGGTTGTGAATGTTGTAATACGTCAATGTAATCAGGAAAAAGAATGCAAAACAATTGACATTAAGATGTACAGGCAGTTGCATTTAAAAAATACCAACTTTGGGTCAAATCGCAGAAACGGTGGCTCACGGTCACGAAAACCGCAAGTCTCTATGTTTAGAAACAGCTGAGATATATACACTGCAGTCTCAACCAAAATTCATACGGAAGGGGTTAATTCTTTGGATTATTTTATGACAAAGTTCATATAAACTACACATATACAGTGATATTTATTAAGAAGCAGACATAGGGATTTACATGTATTGCTTTTCCCTATGTCTACTTTTAAAAGACAAAATATCTCCTAAAGGGCGCCTATCTTTATGCAACCAAAATAACTTCTTAAAACATTAAAACTTTTTCTTCCGTTGAATACATCGCACACGCATGAAAATTAAATTATCATTTATTGAAGCTATAGGAGCGTTAATTAAACTTAAAACCTACGACAGTCGTTCAACACTATTCCTAAAACAGAAAATTAGTATTGCAATTCACTTTCAACAATTCTTTCAAGCTAGAAGAGATTTTTTATTTACTTTGAATATTGTTATTGAAATTATTTGTGAAATGCGTTTTAAATTAAAATAAAAAAATATTTTTAGTAATAGTATGAACAGATGAAGTAGTTATTTCTCTAAAAAAACGTATTTCGACTTTTGCTCTAAAATAATTCGGGGAGCTAGTAATTGACTATAAAGAAATTACCATTGAAATCCCTATGCTGCGTCGCGCTAGACACCAGCACCACCCTGTGTAACATAGGTATAAATAAAAGAAGAACTACAAATTATGAATTATAACACCCTGTAGATCCGTATCGAAGCGTCTAGAAGGACTTGTTTATATGGACTTTTAGTCATAAACTATGCCAAAGAATCAGGCTGAATCAGGGGCGGGACGATTCTAATTTCAAGCATAGAAATAAAGGTAAATTCCAATGAAGAAATTTGTTTAAAACATTTCTTTTATATTGGCGTGACAAATTTACAAGAAAGTAACAATTTTTCAAATATTACTTGAAAATAAAATCAGAATTATTAGTACGAGCGGGCTTTTCATTCATGGGTTTGTAACTACCAGTTACAAACAGGCGAAAATAGAAAAACATTTTCACTTACTTCAATTTAGATGTTGGCTTCTTTCTTAACTTCACCAACGACGACAACATAATCTCCAAGTCTGTATTCAAAACATCTAATAAAGGTGATTAGACTAAATAATTTCAATGACCCCAACACCGTAAGCGGTGGTATACCTATTGCTGTAAACAAAAAACGGAAGATCAAAACGTCCCCCATCGTCCTCTTCTAGTATACACAACTCGTTACCGGAAACCCCACGTAAACAAACTGTTTTATCAAATATTGTCAAATCCAAACCCGTTAACCTGTCCATTTTAGACAAAAATTTCTAACAAGTAAACTAGTAAGATAGAGAAATTGTACACAAAGGAAAACACCAATGATCGATTAAAAATTCTTCATTTTTCGCATATTTAATAATCGTCAACAGATTAAAGAAAGACATCAGCAGAATAACCAATCATGCTCACGAAACAAAGAAATTACGCAAATGCGTGGTATCACAGCATTCGGGGTGAGACACCCTGTATACGGTAAGAAATAGTAATGGTACAAACGACGCCTCGAGGTCTCCTACAGGAGTGGTTCAGAAAAATAACCTTTGAACTGTGTATGCGTATCTATCTATAAATTTGTATTTTTTTCATTAGTAATCAACGCATTTTTTAAAGTGCACAAAAAATACGGGATGCAGCGTTGCAACATTCTCGGTGGCAACGGATGCGTCGATGCAGACGCACGCAAATGTTTTCGTTATTCAAGAAATATAGTACGCGATCAAAAATGAGTTGCTGCCGAGTCACCTTTGGAATTTTTGTTTACATGGGAAATCGTAATTAACTTGAAAGACCATGCAATTTCTAGCTCAACCCATTTTCACCTACGAAATCGATGTTTCCTTGTTTTTATTGTGAAAATATTATGAGTTCGTATTATACAACACAATAAAGTTAGTAAACAGGTTTTCATTCAAGAATATTGTACAAATAAAATGTGGTCTATGTGATTTATCATTTAAATTTAGAATGTATAAAAGTTCCCGCCCTTATAATTACTATACTCTGCACTCTATTGAAAATGTCGAGAATATTTCCACAAATATTGTAACAGAAAAGGTTTATACCTTCGCTAAATATGAACGCCAATAACAGCATTCTGTTAACTATTACAATTTCATAGTTTACAGATGAAGCTGTAGTTGCTTGCAGCTAATTCCAGATTTAAATAAGTACATTTTAAATCGATGATTGTAAAATCAATAAATATAACTTTTTACTAAATGTATCATGAAATTCTCCCTAACTGCTATCACTTACCTTGCACTTTCAAACGTGGCAGAAGCTGTACTACCGATAGCACCGAATCCTACACCTACTGCCAGCCCTTCGGGGACATTATGCGCAGTGATGGCGATAACAAGCAGCATCATCCGTCTCCACTGGCCGTGCTGGATCTCTTCAATATTCGACACGTCCTCGAAGGTATGAGAGTGAACAATTTCATCGCTGGTACGTCCTCGTACTATAAAAAAAAAGCAACACTACTCAATGGCCCCTATACAGTTTACAGAAGCAGGTTAATAAGTGCATCGTAATATAAACAAGTTAGCAAAGCAACACCAAAGACCACATGAAAAAAGCTGTGAGGTATATACTGAAGACTTTTTAGTTTTATTAGTTATGTACCTCGTCCACGAAATTGCAAGTTATTTCCATGCTCGTGAAAACCGTCTATTGCAGTTGTTTCAATTGCATATACAGGCGATTTACCTGAATTATTTTCTTGTTTTTCTTTACGCGTTGCTTTCGAATGTAAAGCTGGAAAGAAATAATCATTCCCTGGAAATTAAAAGGGGTCGCTGCATTACCAAGCATCATGTTAGGCGAATGTACACCTAACAGTGTTATTAAAACATCCGCTCCATATACGAACAATGCACCCAAAAGGAATCCACAGCCTACTGGCACAAATGCAAACTGCCCTTTATCGCCGTACGTTTGCGACTGCTCGGCCATTTCGATGGCCGGTGCCAAAAGCGACCAGAAAGAAGCTGCGGTCATGACCCCGGCAGCGAATCCCAGACTTATATCCAAACATTTCCTCTGAAATTGCAAACGATTCAAACAAATTTTTAGGTTATATTTACTTACATGCGAGCCTCTGATAAATATGACTAAAGCTGCCCCCAACGCCGTCAAAACCCACGTAAACAGCGTGCCCAAAAGGGCTTGCATTACCGGTCCATATTCTGGTAGCATTGTCGATCGGAGTCTTGTTAAAATAAATAAATTTTTAATTTACATTTCGAGATATACGAACACGTACCCACCACGAAATTCTCAAATCTGATTGGTGGGCGAATGCAGCCCTACCAGTGTTGCCGAACGCTCTTCAATGTTGCTCGAAAAAATCAGGAAGTGAAAGAAGTTTGCTGCAAGGCAAAGGCGAAAACTGAAAAAGGCAGGGCACACGTGAAAGACGCAAATTCGCGGATTAGATTCCCTTTAAGAAAGCCATTTCATTATCAGTAGATAATGCCATTCAAGTGTTACCTACTTAATTAACGTGTGCAAATATGGACAAGGAAAACAGTTTTAACAATGACCTTTAAATGTTTACATAATTATTTATTTACTGGTTACTAAACCTTGTGTGGGAAAAAATGACATAGTTTATGCATCGAAGTGGAGATCATGACCATTCACGTTTGCATTTAAATTGACGGTTTAAAAATGCTTTTTCTTGTAGACTCTTTGAAGAAATTGTAACAAGTTTGTTGTCAAGGAAACTCCAAAGGACTTATGGTGAACCGCAATGGTGTTCTTCGAATTTACAACAAAAAATATATGCGCGTAATTTATGTTAAAAAATAGTAGTATTGTATAAGTAGTTAATTAATTATGGATGGTTTAGTGACTGCTTAAATCTGTAACTCGTGTTCCACAGACACTAATGGATTAGTTTTATAGAAAAAGTGCTTATATTGTGATGATTTTTTATATATTTACTTTATCAGCTGTCGCTTTAAGTAGGGAACTTTGGTGCAATTTTTATCTTTGTTATGGCACGCTTGTGTAATAGGTATTATTCTCAATCTTCTTTTACCTTCAAGTTCGATTTCGAAATTCCGATGATAACTACATCTGTGATAATATTAATTCATTCTTGTTAATTGTTATCTTTTTGATAATCTCAGTTCAAACAATACATGCAAACCCACTAACACCGAAATTAAGTGATAAAACCGAGGATAAAACAAAACAGTAGGTAGGTATATAGCCTGGTAAGATTAAGTCGGAAACATCGAAACCTAAAAAGATTGAAATGGTAATGGCGAACAACATAAGGTTTAGGAGTCTACCTACTCTCAATCAGTGTGAGACTTTTGTGTGTGCACATAATAGCGAACCTCATCCATTCGTAATACTATTCGCCAAACAAATTAAGAATTGGTACAGAGGGGGCCAAATGACAAATTTTCCTTTTTTAAGTAATGATTGCGCCCAATTACCCCAAGCACCGTGGAAGGGAAATGTATGGTCATTTTCAAAGTCACGGCTATGGAAATACGTTTAGTGGGTTTTCTCCTTCGCAACAATTTACTCTCTTGAGAATATGATGGATGCAATATGGCTACCAAAAATTGCTATGGGCATTTTCTGTTACCTTACCAAGGCAGTCGACCGTGTAGATCATGGTAGGTATGATGTTAGACAAATTAATCGCTTATGATATTAGGGGAGTAGCAAAGCAACTATTCCTGGTTCTAGTCCTATGTCTGTGATAGACTGGAATATTGCTGCGGGAAAATGGGACACGAACTGTATCACAGTGCTTTTCCTCATTCATATATCAACGTTTCCTGCTATACAGTTCACACTATTTGCAGATGATATCTAAAAACAATTTGATTTCTAACGCAACTAAATGTACCTACCTATGTATTCAGTTGATGTGTTCAACGTAGGTACCTACAGCATAAACTGGTTCTAAATTTTTATAAAAAAAGCTTCTGATTTTGATTTAATTTAATAACAATTTTGTTATTAAAGTTGTAACCACTACAAGGTTTCTAGGAATTTTCTTAGATGACACTATTTTTGTGGTCGACCCACATAAGTGACCTCGGTCCCAAATTTGCCAGAGCAATTTATGAAATCAGACGAACCACAGATATTGTGGAGTTTTGAGATAACACTCATGCTTTTAACTTTAACACTATCAAAACAAACAGTATGATATCTACATCTACGATATATGAACTGAAGGGACTCATGCAGGGAGTGTACATGAAATTTACACACTGAGTGAATATTACGCATTAAAATAATGGAACTTTCTATGCTATTCATCATACTCATCAGTCATCACATTTAATATTGATTAATTTAATGTCACAATTTTATTAGTAACACCAATTTGTAATACCTACCTACTCACTTTTTCTAAACGCTGCTACGGTTTGTTCTATGATACATTAAAATAATTGTTTTTCTTACTTAACTGACTTAACTCGTTTTTTTAAGAAGTCAGATCTAGCTTGGTTAACTATAACCGCACAAATTAATATGAAGTAACGATTAGTATCGGTATGGTCTAGTCCAAAATTGTTTAGCGCATTTTTTAAGAAATAAAAAATATGCTATTGGTTGCGTTTTGTCCGTCCGTCTGTCCGCCAGTTCGAACCCACTTTTGCGGTTTTCAACTATTTTAGGGAAACTGCCCTAGAGCCCTGGAATTGTGTGCAGTATGCTGAGTGAGGGTGGCGTGAATTATTCCCCGAGATGCTGTTTCTAAAAGTAAAGCGTTCATACCTGTATACTCACAAATGAAAAATGAATCGTCTGGACGATACAATGTATTAGTGAAATCAAAGCGAATGTCTGAAAACAAAATGTCGGAAAAAGGTAAAGGTAGCTTTAAAATGTGTATCAGTATCAGGCAACCTTTAAATGTTTATGTGTAAACAGCTCCCTACCCATTAATCTTCTACCAAGAAGGTAAAAATCAATAAATACAGTATGCTACTACCTTTATAACCCAATTATTTACTAAGCTATTTCGGTTTAAAAAATGCGCTTTATCTGCATATGAGTTCTGACAATCTGAGCAATCGCTATAAAGTGTCATTAATTCGAGACATCCTTTACATTTTACACGTCCCATCTACGACTTAACAACCTACGTGAATTAGTAGTACAACTCTGCAGAGGGGTTGTATATGCACCACAATGTTTTTGTGTAAAGGTCTGCATGTCTGTACCTATGTAATGAAATAATGAACATGTGACGTAGAAGCCCCACCAATCAGCTCCTAGAATCATTCAGATGACATAACGAATTGGCAATATTGCAGGAGTATGTCATTTCTAACTTGCGTAATCTGTCTAACAGGCACTTGTCACTTGTTCACTTTCGCGTTATAGGTAGGTATGCAGTTAAATCACAACCATCTATATTTTTTTATTTTATATATATAAATATATATTATATTATAAATATTATTATAATTATAGACGGCTGTGGTTAAACATGCCTCTTGAAACGTCAAATCCGACAAACGTCACACCCTCGTACAAGGTTGCCGGCTCACTTCTACGTGATTGGTTGTAGGCTTGTGACGTATTTAGACTGAAGGCTTTCAAATTCAGACTAAAAACACAGCTTTCCAATAATTTATTTTGGGTTTACTTTACTCGCAAATTGAGGACACACGGGTCTTTTTATTTTTAATGTACTTTGTAGATCAGAAATAAAAAATGAAGCCGGGATGCCCCCATTGTTTATGGTCATAAATGTAACTTGCTTAGTCAGAATATTACATACACTTGTGTATATAGTTTCGCAAAAAGAATTTGCTTATAACGTGCGTTGCAAATTGTGACAATTGCTTCATGAGCATGACCTATACCCGCAAATAACTTATGACATTAATCTAAACATGTTATGGTCCTAGCTACTAAAATTAAACAGAAGGCATTCCTCATAAAGATAGATATGAGTGTCTTTGTAACTGTTAAGGCTCTGTCACACAGATGTGTTACAGAGCCTTAATTAACTTTGTATATTCTAATCTATCTCAAAAGGGCTCATTATATTAAGGTAGGATTTATACAATAATAATAACATTTACATAAATTTCTAAATACTAATGACAATGACTGAGATCCAATTACCACTTCAAAGAATCATAGACAAACATGTAATTAGGCAGTGCACGTTTCTTCCAAAGTTCGACAATTGTTTGCCTGTACAGGTGGCAACGTGTGATTTTCCGCAATGAATCATGCGCGTACACGTAGCAACTATGAAAAACAAACCACCCTCGACAATGTGCCGCTAAAGCCGCACGTGGCATCGACTAATTTTCTGTATTGGTGATGAGAAACGGCTTTTCTTTCACCACAATTGGGTAAGGAAACTGACTTGACCGGGCGGCGGCTCCTGACGCTCCCTTTTCTAACCCACTATCTAAACTGATCACAAACACACCACGCATACCTAAACTAAATGACACCAAATACAAAACTACGAGGTCCCATAAAAAATATCACATATTTGGAGATTGGTTCGCTTACATGCGTGTTTAAACCGTTTATCCAATTGCGATGAAACTGTGGGAAATGGTTGGACGCATGTTGCGAATGTTTCGGCGAGTGTACGATAGGCGATATGCAGTTCACCGGGTGCGAGGTGAGGCGGCGCAGCCATAAACACCAAGCGTATGTACCATCTAAGGAAGCGTAATTTTCCAAACATCGTACGAAGTTCGCCGGGTGTGCTAGTTAATTATATAATAAAGTGTCATTAATTCCAGACATCCTTTACAAACGTAAAGGTCGGCATGTAAGGTTTAGATGAGCATTCGTTGTATATTAAATTTTACCGTCATTATTTTAATTTTATGATCATTATTATTTGCGCGTCTCCCGATAATACAAGAAAAAACACCTTGTCCATGAAGTTCATTGTTCTCTAACAATAGACATCTGTACTAATTAGCGTTTTTCAATGTTTACCTAATCAATCTGCGCAGTTGAGGTGGTTAAATATACGAAAATAGGTTTTTTAGATGAATCTCCGCGCTTAGTTGAGTTGGGGAATCGTAGATAAATTTGGTCATAGGGTTTTGTCGCTTAGGAGTCAATGGGGTCTTCAAAACGTCCTGGCTTCTAATTTGGGATGTTATCTAACGGATACATCAATAAAACTATACCATGTGATCCAGAATAGCTGAGGACAGTTTGAATTACGCGCTTAATGTTTTTGTTTGTTTTTGCTTTGGATATTGGCGATCGTGGTTTTTATCATCAACGATTTTAGATCACCCGTGACCCGGTAGCGCGTTCATTTCAAAAGTAATGGTAATAGATCAAAAACGCAAAACAATATCACGAGTATCACTTCGGGGCACAACAATTTCAATGACCAGAACTCGCGGTGCCCCCGTCCTCTTTTTAAATTGCAATTTCCAACTGACCACTTGGGATACTCTGGAA